TTTTAAAATTTTAATGTGTTGCCCATCTTGAGTTTAACAATTTACAGTACATATTTCCCATTTCCCAATTTTTTCAATTTAATTCTTTCCTACTTATGTTCTATAAATAACTTTTATGAGAAATTTTTGTATTACAGTATATATGACACTATACAAAAGTATAATGTTCTTGTTGTACAGGCAAAAGATAAACTTTAGGCCTAGATTCTGCCTCATAAACTTACGGATTCAGCTTTACATGATGGCTTTCTGACTGAGGACGTTCCTTGTTGGCTTTTTGTTGCACATTTAAAATACAGACCTAAAGTTTTAGCTCTAGAATTGGAGATAAAATTCTTACCACCTCTGAAAGCATTGGCACATCTACTTTGTAATAACAACCTCTTATTACTCTGCTTACTTTCTTAAACCCCTACTGCATTGAAACTTCTAATCCATTGATCTCTACCCTTTTCTTTGTTCATCAGCCTTCTTCAACATTTGCTTTCCTCTGAATGTAGCTTTTGTCCCATGGGTCATCATTTTAAGGTCATTCTTTTATTAGTACCTGCAGTTCCTCTGGTAAAAATCTCAATTCTTCCCAATTAATTTCCTAGTTTCTCTATGCCTGAATATTGCTGAAGAAAAATACATAGCCTGACATGTTGGTGTCACTCTAAATTCATGATCACAAACCTGAGATGAGCATTGAATGCTCTCTGCCATCTTACATTTCTCTAGGTAGGTTGATCTCCCTGCTCTACAGAGATTTTTTCATACGCTTTCCGCTCTGTTCTTCATACCCTGCCTCCCAATCTGCAGATGACAATTCTGCCTAATACTTAATGGAAACAATAGAAGCCACTAGGTGAGAATGGTCTTAGTTTCCCATCACCAAATTTGTAGACATGAATCCCTTCCCATCCTTTCCGTCCGTTTTTTTAAACAGAAAAAACATAACTCCCGTCAACTATGTGCTATTTTCTTTTCCTGATAGAAATATTCAAGTATGTGTTAGTACTTTCCATCTTAAAAATTCAGAAAAACAAATAAAGCTCTCCCTCAACACCACATCCCTTGAACAGCATTTTATTTTCTTACTTCCTTCTCAAAGGAATTGTTTATACATACTTTTCCCTTCCTTTTCAGTCTTTAGTCCATGTCATTCTGGTTTTTGCTTAAAACTTGCTTTGCTAAGTTATTAAATGACTTTCATGTTTTTGATTATACATACTTTATGGTTTCTTTTAGAGTATTGAACAAAGTAAATAACTTTCTTCTTGAAAAACGAACTCTTCTCATGGTTTAGGGGTACC